TGTTGTGAATTGAAAGTGCCTCCAATCCCTGGCAGTTTCAAGTGTTGAATACAAACCAACCCATCTACTGTCGGCAGGTGAGGAAACCAAGCGCCCTGGGTCCTGTAGCTGACATCTATAGAGTGGAAGTTTGAACTGCTCTGGACTGCGGCCCTGGGGTGGGCAGCCCCCAAACTGTCCACTCCTGAGTGATGGCTCAGGTGCTGGACTAGCCAAGTCACCAACTGTGTCTGGTTTGCCTTCCAAGCCAGCCCTGGCGCTGACAGAGTGGCCTCCAATGGACACAAGTGTCTGGTTTGAAGAAGGTAGAGGGTACTTTCAACTTGGCCAACCTGATCAAAAGTCCTGTTCTAGTTTGCTTTCTGTGTCTGTGATGAAACACGGACTGATAGCAACGTGGGGAAGAAAGGGTTTGAGAATCTCTCCTCCCCTTAAACACAAACAGCTAGAAAAGAATACAAGGTTGTGTAATTATGGTTCGGGAAGTGCAGACAGACAGACAGACTTTCCATCCTATTGTGCAGTCTGATATGAGCCCTCCACGTCAGCTTGGTTCAGAGACCTCACTGTTTGAACGTGACCATGGGAGCATCTCGGTCACATTATCAGACTCCATCAACCAGTCTCTGCCTCCTGGTACAACATATAAGACCATGGCATGAGGTTCTTCTAGAGGACATCCTCACTGACCTTGACACCCCACAAGAGGGTGGCAGATGAAGCCCTTGATGAGGCCTAAGAGCCCAGAACCTGGATATTACAGGAGCTACAGGTGCAGCCTCTGAGCTGCCCTGGAGCAGGCTCCTCCCCCAGGACTCGTTCTCTTCTCTTCGCTCACCTCCCAGAAACGCTGGCCCTTGACAGTCAGATGGTCACACCGGACAAGTGCTCTCTCAAGCCACCTGATTAACACGAATATATGGTCCCACCCCCATTGTTTTCTGAGAAGCAAGGTCCCAGTACGGACCCCACTGGGTTGCCTGCATGTCTTCATCCTTCATGTCCTGCCTTGCTAGGCCAGGCCAGCAACAAGGCCAGATCACTCTGTTCTCAGTGTTACCTCCTCCTGAAAGACCATCTCAGTCCTCCTTGCTCCTCATAGCTTCAGAATCTTACCCACGATGCCCAGTTACAGTCTATAGTCTGAACACCGATTTCATAAGCCAAATTCCACCCCACCCCACACCCAAGTCCTCTCTGACCAGGTTTTACTATATAGACCAGTCTTAGTCTTCCTGAGAACAAAGATTACAGATATATACCACTATGTCCAACAATATATAGCATGTTGGGCCTTTAAAAGCTTTGACCAGGGGCTGGAGAGATGGTTCAGTGATGAAGAATGCTTCCTGCTCTTCCAGAGGACTGGGGTGTGGATCCCAGCATCCACTTTAGACGGCTCGCAGTCTCGCAACTTCTGCTCCATCCAGGGTACAACCACATACAACCTCACATACACATATAATAATAATAATAATAATAATAATAATAATAATAATAAATCTTCAATTATCAGTCTGATCACACATACACCTTTAATCTTGGCACTCTGGAAGCAGAGGCAGGTGGATATCTGTGAGTTTGAGGCCTGCCTGGTCTCCAGGACAGCCAAAGCAACACAGAGAAATCCTGTCCCCAAAAAACAAAACAAAACAAAAACCCCTTTAGTCATCAGGATGGCAAGATTGTACAGTTGTGTAAAACTGCTCCCCCCGCCACACCTGACAAGCTGTGTTTGACACCCGGGCCTCACAGTGGAAGGAGAGAACGGATTCCTAAAGGTATTTTCTGAATTCCACATACGTATACCTTCACTTGAGTGTGCGCAAACACACACACACACAGAGAGAGAGAGAGAGAGAGAGCAATTTAAAAAGCAAACTTTGATCATGAAACACTGTAAATATATACAAAAGAGATCAATACCCAATGCTTACTATTGCTTCGCCTACACACCCCTGTGACCTTTTGCCCAGACTGCGTTTCTGTAAACTATTGGAACCAATTTTCTTCTTTGTGGAGACAAAGTGATTCTCCTTTCCTGATCACCTCTGAGCTGTCTGGGTGCTCACCACGCTACCTTGCAATTGATCTGCTGTAGACTTGAGGCAGCGGCTGCGGGCACCGCTTCTCCCTGTATGGATTGTAGCCTCTCCTGTCCCTGGGAAGGAGAACGTACCCTACCCAGCGCTGCTGCGGCATCTAAAGTTAGGTCCGACTACAAGAGGAATACTTCCATTTTCACTGGAAAAGGGCAGTCTGAGGATCACTGAGAAGATGGTGGATTGAGGATGGGCAGTCTGTGGGCTCACACTTCATCCCCATGGGTTCACAGACGACAGAGCATGTCTGGTTCCTGGAATTACGGACACAGGACCTAGATAAGCTGTAGTCTGGGATACAGGCTTCAGGGTCAGCAACAGGGAACTATAAGGCAGTTATAGAATGGGTCAGAGCAGGCAGCAGGAGCAGGACAGTTACAGGTCGGAGCAGGAAGCTGGTCTGGGTGGCATAAGGGCCACATAGGGCTCAGGATTGGGCAGGTACATGTGACAGTCTTGGGGAACCCTTGGACACCATGAAGTCCCCAAGTCTCCAGCTCTTCCTCCTGTCCCTAGTGTAGGAACCAGGTCTCGAGCCTTGGGAGAAGCTGGACACCAGGCTTCTCCTGATTCTTTGCTTCTCCCACTGCCTACCCATCCTGTTAAGACCTCCGAACACCTGCTCTCCAAACAGTGACTGTTCTCAGTTGCTCAGGTTTACCACCTAACTTTAGGCTCATTTTTGAATAATTCCCATTTACAAGTGCTTAAGATGGAATCCTTAAAGTGTGCAGAGTAGCCAGTCCTCACAGAAGGCGCTAAGGCAGGGGGATGTCCCTGTTTTGGAAAGAGGCCAGCACATTAATACTTCCAAATATGACCATGATGGTGGAGGCATGGGAAGGCCAGCCCTGACTGGGGACACTCCGTAGAGCAGGAGCTATGCACTCAGATCTGCTTCAGTACTCAGACATCCTGGTGGGTACCACAAACCCCACAACCCCAGGAAGCAAACCACACAGGAGAAGTCAGAGGGTCCAGGCCTCTGATGAGGAATGGTCTCATCAAGCACCCAGAAGAGTTGTGTTCCCAGCCAGAGCAGCCTGGTCAGCTGTTAACGTCAGATGGACGGAGAACACGCTGTGATCAGTCGCTCCAAGAATGAGCCCGAGTCTTCTAAGGAAAAGTGGAAGCCCTGTTCTCTGGGGCCACGAAGGCAGCCAGCAGACACTTAGGAAACACTCAGCCAACACCATGTCAGCTACAGAAGGGAGCCTGGCCAAGCATAGGTGCTCAACAAGCCCCAGACATCAGAGCTTTGGGAGGGAGGAGACATACTGTCACATAGCTGTGGCTCCACCAGGGGTCCTGCAGGAACCTCTGAAAGGGCAATGTCTAGGAGAAAAGGATGGGTTGTATTTGCCCCCTTGCCGAGGCCCCACAGTTGGAGAGGTTGCCATCCACAGGCGCTATGGCCTGAGAAACCCCACTTCCTACGAAGTTGATCAAAGACAGGAACTTGAAGGAAGAAACATGACTCAAAGGGAGCAAGAAGCTCCTGTGATTAGCCACTGTTTGCCACATGGAGCATGCTTGTCTCAATGTGCAGGCTCTCTATAGACAGAGAAGCTGAGCACTTACCCCTGCTAAGAGTGGCATCTCAGGAGGGGCCCCGTATAGAGACACTTGTAGCATAAGTGTGTTTCTGGTCCCATGGCCCACCTCAGAGATGATCTGTTGAGTTAAATACTGCCCAGCCTCTGAGGGCCTATTACAACCCACCTAGCATTGCTGGTTTCTGCGTGGCACCTGGACAGACCATGTGGCTTCCAAAGTGACCATGGAATCCTGATGGGAGACGGTGGGAGGGAGGCTATGGATGGCTTGGTGAGGAATGTGACTGACGTATGGGACAGCTAGCTTCCCTGGAGACCCCTCTAACATGGCAGGAGCCCCTCTGCAGACCCTCCCATTCTCTGGCTTCTTTGCCCAACCTCGGGTGAAGGACAACCCTCTGTACCTCCATGGTTGCCCAGGGACTGGGGCCAAAAAATTGTTCAAAACTTCCCCCCCCCTTTTTTTTAAATTATTTTTCAGACAGGGTCTCACTATGTAGCCCAGGCTTGCCTCAAACTTGTAAGCCTCCTGCTCCAGGCTGGAGTGTTTGGCATTATTGTGCCTGGCTTAAAGTGTTTTTTCTGCTCTGGCTTCCCCTGTGGCTACCCTCCTCGATCTTCCTTGCCTCATCACACCCAGACACCCCAGACTGCTTTGTAGAAGCATCACCACTAGCAGCCACAAGGGCACTGCCTGCGAGTGCTTTGTCACCCTGGGGTCCTGTGAACCCCTCCCAGGCCCCCAGGGACCTCCTCAATGTTATGATCACCTCACTTCTCAGATGAGAAAACTGCAACTCAGCTAAGACTGTGACCAGGCTCCAACTCCTGGGTTTGGGTCCAGGAGAGGCAGCCAGAGACACTGGGGGCCAGTCGGTGGGGGTGTCAGACAATCCTGTAATCTCTTGAAAGGCTGAAGCCAGCCCTCTCTCCTAAGAGTACCCTCAGATTACATTAGATAACAGGAGGGGAGGAAGGAGGGCGGGGCGGCAACTGAGTGAGAAAGGTTGAGGAAAGAAGGATGAGCTGCTGGAGGTTCTGCCCCTTCCCTGCCTCCTGCGAGCACCCTGGCTGAGCTCTTTCAGCATGCAGCACTCAGGGTGATGTCACAGGGCCTACGTGGGGACAAGGGAGAAGAAAGTGCTGCTGGGTGCAGTTCTTTCCTCAGGCATCACTGTTGTGTCTCCCCAAGTGGTGCCTTGACTCACTGGGGCTTCTGAGGTGCCACTGCTGAAAGTCCCTTTGTGGTCCCCAGGGAAAGGAGCAGCCAGATAGGAACAGTGGCTGCCCTGGTGCGCTCCCTAACGTGGCATCGTCTGAGTCCCCACTTAGACACTCTTACCTGGATGACGACCTTAACGGTGGCTGTGTCCACGATGGGCGTGCACACCAGGCCACCGGGGTGCCGGCCATCAGCACTGCGGTTCTTTAGGCCCATGGTGAAGAGCATGGGCACAGCTAGCAGCCCTGAGGCTAGCCATATAGCGCTGATGAACTTCTTGGTGCGGCTACGGGACATGAGGGTCTTGGCCTTGAAGGGATGGCAGATGGCCAAGTACCGCTCCACACTCAGGCTGGCTACATTAAGGGCTGTGGCATAGGTGCAGGCATCGCGCAGGAAATAGTAGCCACGGCAGCCGGCATCCCCAAAGGCCCAGGGATGGTGCACCCAGATGAAGTTGTACAGCTCCACAGGCATGGCCAGCAGCAGGATGAGCAGGTCGGACAGCGCCAGGCTGCCCAGGTGGTAGTGCACAGTGCTCTGCAGACTCTGCAGTGACTTCTTCCGCGCCAGGGTGAAGGCTGTCACTGAGTTGCCCACAGTGCCCACCACAAAGAGCGCCAGGTATACAGCGGTCACCAGCACCTTGGAATAGATGTCAGTGTTCACGTCCAGGTCGCTGTTGGGCGCTGCCAGGACGGATTCCGAGGTGTTGCCAGAGCCATTGCCCAAGCCTAGCGCCAGGAGCACGGCCTCCAGTCCTGACTGCGGTCGGGGGAAGGGTTGGGCTCCTGGTTCACCAGGAGCGCCCTGCGGCACGGAGCTGTTGAGACGCATGGTGGGCGCCGGGTACCTGGCTTTGTCCTGCACCTTTGCAGGTGGAAGTTCCTCCGGGGTCAGGTGAGGAGCCGCCCAGAGGGAAGGGTGCGGAAGCTAAGGGGGGCGTGCCGTCCAGCTGCGAAGCGCAGCGCGCGATCCAGACGATTCTGGGAGCTTTGGGGCTCGCGACGTGCCGGCACCGTGATCCTCTGTCCTTTCTCCTCCGGAGTCTGGGATCTGCCTTCTGGCTTCGTTTTTCCTCCGCACCAGTCCCGAAACTGCCCCGAATCGGGGCTGCTTCGACCTCCAGATTCTGTGGTTGGTTCTCTCCACGCCTGGGTGGCAGCAACGTCCTCAGGACCGGGACCCTGCTGGCTTGTGCTTCGCTGGGCGATCCTGTGGCGCAGAGCGGAGCGCACGCACGGCTGCTCAGCGTGCTCACCCTCGTTCTGCCTCTTCTGCTTCGAGCTCTCCCCGCACCCCGACTTCGCACACCTCCTGCTGCGCCGGAGCCTGCGGGGCTCCTCGCGCCTCCACTGAGCTGGCGGCTGCGCGGCGCGCCCAGCAGTGGAGGAGGGTGTTGGAGAGGCAGAGAGGCGGCCCCAGCCACTGTCCCCTCCCCACCCGGGTACAGACTGACGGTCGCCCCTGAACGCTACTGGGAACAACCTGGGATGGGATGAGCACCTCAGAGAACCAGGATTCCTTATGGGGTGTGGCAGAGTGAGGGGATATTGGACCTTTCCTTTCAACCTCTTCGGGGCAGTACAATCTTCCCTTTTCCCATCGTTTGTACCAACTTTCCTACCCCCCAAAGGAAGCAACCCCATGTCGCCTCCAACTCCATCAAGGCCATGGGGGTATACTCGGGAAGGCGGAGAAGGAGGCGGCACCCTCCTAGCACGGCAGGGTCTTTGTACAGCTGGCTGGGTTCCCTCCCTTCTGGGTGCCTGCAGGGTGCCTTGAGCACCCAGGGGGGTTCTAGCCTGTGCAGGGTTGGGTGAGGGAAAGCAGAGAGCAGGAAGGCAGAGCAGCCCAAGCTCTCCATCGGGGCTCAGGCAACCCCGCGATCTTCTGCTGCCCTTGGGTTTGATGCCCTCTGTCACCTAGATTTGGTCACTAGCAGTCACTCTCAGGACCGGGGCAGGGCAGGTTTGTGAGTGACACAGAGAGGTATCTGTCCTTTCAGGAAACACTGCCGCCTGTGCACTCAGCCCAGCTCAGCCTATCCCAGGGGACCCTTCCCTTGTGGACCAAAGGAACAATGGCCTCTGCATCTTGTCCTCCCAGGCAGGGGCCCTAGTAAGAGCTTCCAGGCTTGCTGTTATCTTGCTTGCCCCAGGGCCGCTGCCTCTATTTCTCCACTTAGCCCTCTTGGCCCTTCTGCACTCTTCCGGACAACTCCTACTGGATCCTGCGGAGTCCCAGGGCAGGAGGGAAGGCTCACCAACTGCAGTCCTGCAAGGACGTAGCTGGCTGCATCTGCTGTGTTGGAAGTAGGAAACCTGAGTGGGTGATGAGAGACAGGACTCGGACCAGGGACCCAAACTTGACCTGAAACCCAGGCTCAGCCAACAGGGAGACTCTCAAATTAATACCCTCAACCTGCTTTGGTCTCGCCTGCTCAGACAAAAGTTGGTCTTCTCACTAAGGAATCTTCACACATGAAAAGCAGTGTTTAAACATTTGGTCTTCAAAGGAAACAACTGTGTCCCCTTGCTAGAAACCAGTACAGCAGGCTACAGGGGATGAACGTGCCTTTAATATTTGGACAAGTGTCTCTGCCTTCCTGAACCTTAGCTCCTTCCTTTGTCGAAGGGAAACCTAAATCTGCACTGATGGTTTCTGGTCGATTGCCCATCTACCGTGCAGGTAAGGCAGGCTTGAAAACTGCCCCAGATGAGACAGACACTGGGCACCAGTTAAATGAGCAGAGCAGGTGGTGGTGATAGGGTTAGGAAGTAAGAGCCCTAGTCTGAAGCCGTCAGTCTGAGGACGCAGTCTGAGGCAGCAGTCAATCTGAGACACAGACTGAGGAGAGGCTCGCCCCTTTCCTCTGAGCATGCATAGGGGTAAGAACTCTAGTGCCTGGCCGCTCTGCTTCTCAGATCCTTCAGCTTTCATCCCCCTGATAGCTGACTCTGAGATTTTATTATTAAGAGCAATTGGAATTTGTGCAACACTGGGCTCCATCAAGCCCACAAGCCCACACCTCACTGCCCAGTGGTGTACTTGGTCCAACCCAGAGCCCACCACCAATGCTGCCATCTGTCCTCCTCCATCGGGGGCCGCCAGAGGAGGGCCTTCCCAGTGACCACAGGAGTATACTCTTCCGGCAGCAGGAGCTGCAGCCACCCGGGAGAGGCCATCTCAAAGGCAGCCCGAGCCCATGTTTGATTTTCTAGTCCTGACCTTTTGGCTAAGCTGGCCTTGTCTTCCAAAGCTTTCTTTTGCGATAGTGTCAAAGCTTCAAAAAAAATCATAAATGGCAACTTAGCACAAATATTATGACAAGGTATTTGCTTAAAACCGGCTGGGAAAATGCCATCCAGAAGGTCTGGCTGTGCACAAGGATGGTGCAGGCCCTCACAGGGGGCTCCCCAGTGACTGTGCCCCTGAGCCCTTCTGGATTGGCTGCCCTGAGCCAGGAAGACTCAAAAGCAGAACCTTTAATTGCAAGTTTGGGCCTTCAACCCATGCTTCCTGAACAGGATCCCCCTCTAAACAGCATGTCATTGAGCACCTTGTACGAAGGTCAGGCCTTGATCCAGGAGTGTTCATAGGTGACCCAGCCATAATTCTAATGGTTCAAGTCCCACGCTGACAAATTGAAGCCCCACATAGCTGTGGGCAAGCAAAGCATGAATTACTGCTGTGCTGAGACCAGGAAACCAGGGTGGGCTGTGGGGAGTCTCAACCGCTCCTGGTCTGGATTAGAGCTGGCCCCATCTCTGCAGCAAGGACCAACGTCTCTTGACAGGTTCTGGGTTTCCAGACAGCTAGAATACAAGATAATTTCAGCTTCTTAAGTTCCTTGTGTGGTATGGGCAAAGCCGAGTCCCATCATTATGTGGAATTTTTAGCTATTATCTGTGTGTGAAAGTCAAGTTCAAAGAGCCACCAAATGAAAGGCTCCAGGCAGCACCGTCCTAGGAGCCGGCATCTTTGTTTATTCGGTTTGACAACGCGTCCCCCAACACTGCTCAGACAGACAGAACCGGCACTCAGTGCATTAGGAGACACACACGTTAGCTCGGCTGGACAAGAGCAGTGCCACCTACGCATCGTGTCCAACAGGCTCCAGAAAAAGCAGGCCATCGTCCCATCAGAGGCCATGCCTCCTTCCCCTGGCCTCTAGATTACTGCTGGGCAAGGCTTCCTAATAAAGTCAAAAGGCTAAATAAGGGACTAAAGAGATGGCTCGTTGTTAATTGCAGAGGGCTGGAGTTCAGTTCCCATCCCCCACCAAAGATGGTTTGCAACCACCTGTAACTCCAGCTCCCGAGGGTCTGACATACTCTTCTGGCCTCCACTGGTGTCTGGCTTGCGTACACACGCCTCACTCCCACACCAAGATGCGTAGTTAAAAATAAAGAAATCTTTTAAAAAGCTAAGTACATTTCCAGCCACGGTGCACTGTCATTATTTCCCAAGAAGCCCCTGAAGCTCCGACACTGAACTCAGCAAACATTTATTTAGTTGCTTCTTTTCTGTTTTTATGGTGCCGGGAATTGAACCCAGGACCTCACACAGGACCAAGCACTCGACCACTGAACTACATCTCTGGACCATTTATTTACTTATCTTTGTTAATTTTTTTAATTGTATTTTGGTTGCTATTGTTTTGAGACAAGGACTCACTGTGTAGCTTTGCTGGCCTAAATCTCCCTTTGTAGAGCAGACTGGTCTCGAAATCATAGAGATCTATCTGGCTCTGTTTCCTTGTCCTGGGATCAAAGGTGTGCATCACCATTCCTGGACAACATTTTATTTATATAGTTGAGTGTGTGTGTGTGTGTGTGTGTGTGTGTGTGTGTGTGTGTGTGCAGGCACATGCATGCCACAGTTAGTGGGAATTAGTCCTCTCTTTTTGGCTTGTGAGTCCTGCAGATCAGATTCAGGTTGTCTGTTTCCAGGGAAAGTGTCTTTACCCTCTGAGCAATCTCTCTGGACCTTAATTTTTGTTTGTGAGACAGAGTCTCCCAAAGATGCTGAGGCTGGCTTTGAACTTGGGGTCCAGTTGCCTCAGCCTCTCAAGTGCTGGCATTGCAGGTGTGTCTACCCTACCTGGGTTGTGCTATTATTAATTGGTGTCCTATGTGGCTGCGAGCAGGTGGGATGTAGATGCAGGTAGACACGGGGTTAGGCAGCACGGATGCTCTGAAGAGCTGAGCTGTCTGCTCCATCTCACAGTTTGGAAGCTGCACATGTTCCAAAGCCTGCTGCCTTCCAAGGAGGAATCTTAAAAATAGAGCAACACATGTGCACGTGTGGGGGATAGCCCCCACCTCTCCTTCGTGGTCTGGCTACGCTCACAGCATCTCTGGGGATTCTGGCAGGTCCAGGCCACCCTTCAGCCTTGGCCAGCTCTCTGGAGTCACAAGCTGTATTCTGGGGGGGAGAACCAGGAGAGGAAGTCGGGTGACTGCCGAGAGTGTACTGTGTAACTACAAGAGATGCGCTGCCACAGAGCCACAGGACATAGAGGGGTATTGGTGGGGGTGGGGTGCACGGAATTTGGGTTCAAGAGGTCCGGAGTCCTAGCTGTGCTTTGCTCTGGTGATTATCTCCGACCAGGTAAATAAATGGACTGAACCTGTTTTTCTCGTGTGTACAGTGCATACGTTGTGGTCTCTGCGAAGGCTGCTGAGGGTGTCTTTCAACTGAGTGCCCGCCTTTAAACAACACGGGATGTCACTCCGAGAAAACACCAGCATTCACAGAATCCATCTGAATGCAGACCAGCAGGAGAAGCCAGGCAGGGAGGTGCCACACCCTCTCCCTTTGGGGACTCTTTC